GAGCTCCAGAAGCGCGACCCTGATGGCGACCGTACCAGTCGTGCAGCTGTTGTGAGGTGAGAGGCACACGCGGAGGAAGGCGGCTACTCCAGGGAGACCGCGCAATAGCAGACTCAGAACCCTCAGCGCCAGCACCCGCAGCAGCTCCAGAACCTCCATCGCTAGCACCCGCAGCAGCTCCACAACCTCCAGCGCCAGCACCCGCAGCAGCTCCAGAACCTCCAACGCTAGTACCCTTAGCAGCTCCAAAACCTTCAGCGCCAGTACCCTCAGCAGCTCCAGAACCTCCAGCTCCAGCACCCTCAGCAGCTCCAGACTCTGCACCCCCAGGCTCTGCACCTCCAGGCTCAGCACCCCCAAGCTCCGCACCCCCAGGCTCAGCACCCCCAGGCTCAGCACCCCCAGAAGTAGCACCCCGAGCAGGACTACCCTCAGCAGAACCTGAGTCACCAATGACCTCAACCGGCGCAGTCAAGGGAGGAGGGTCTACCTGAGACACACCTGAAGGAGCAGGACCGGGAGTGGGGAGGGGGTCTACCTGGGGAGCACCTGGAGCGAGGAAGAGCGGCAGGGGGGGGAGAGGGGCAGTGCGGTAGGGGAAGAGATGGTAAAAGGGAACCGACTCGTCGAATGTGACGTCCTCAGAGGGAAAGACAGCGCGCGAGGTGGGGTGGTAAAACTGCCAACCAGGCGCGTCAGGGACAAAGCCAAGGAAGACACAGGGAACAGCGCGGGCGAAGAGCTTGTCCGCGGTGGTATCGCGGACAAAGGCACGAGCACCCCAGACCCGGAAACGCGACGCATCGCAAACCTTCCCCGTCCACAGCAATGTGGGCGAGGTCTCCGGCAAGGAGACACGGGGCCAGAGGTTGAGCTGATGCGCGGCGTACCGGACCGCAAACGGCCACAGAAAATGGGGGGCAGCTGCATGGATCATGGAGGTACGAGCGACCTCCATGACTAAGCCAATGCGGCGCTCAGCAACCCTATTCTGCTGCGGAGAGGCCGGAAGCGTGAACGACTGGGTGATGCCGTGCTCCTCACAGAAGGCTGCCAAGAGGTCGGATGAAAACTCACCACCTCTGTCAGAGTGCAGACGTAGGACGGGAAACTCCACCCCGAACTGCTCGCGGAGCTGGAGACGAGCAGCGCGGATCCAAGGGATCAAAACATCAGGGACCTCACCCTTGGTGCGCAAGGGGAAGACCGTGGTGTAACGCGTGTAGTCGTCGTCGACCAGCAGGAAGTACCGCTCGTGGCCCTGTCCACGGACGCGGGCTGGGCCCCACACGTCCAGGTGGAGAGTCTCCAGGGGAGCCTCTGTGGGAGGGAACGAGGAGGAGTGAGGAGCGGCGCGCTGCCGCCCCTCGACACAGGGAAGACAGGGAGGAGCAGGTGAGGGTGGGAGGGAGGGAGAACCCTGGGAAGACCAGAGACAAGGACCCGGCGGTGCATGCTACGAAGGCGCTGCACCGAGGGGTGACCAAGGCGGTGGTACCAAAGGACCGTCTGGTGCGACAAGGCGCGACACGAGCAGGGGGCCGAAAACTGACCTGACGCAGACGCAGACGCAGCTACCTGAGGGGACTCAGTGGTCAGTGTGTACAGGCCCGACCCAGGCTGCTGAGTGAAAGTAGCCAGGTGACGACCCGTCTGAGCACACGTGCAGTGTGTCACACGCTGATAGGCAAGGGTGAACTGGTGAACACCTGCGTCCTGGAGCGCGGAACCCGCCACCAAGTTCGTAGAGAACGAGGGGAGGTAAAGACCTGATAGTGTGCCGGACGGGACAGCAGGACAAGGGAGGACAGTGGAGGAGGTCGCACGGACTGGACCCTCAGAGGGGTCTGCCAGGGAGACTGGAACCGGTCGACTGAGCGGCGTGAGGGTGGTGCTGTCGCGAAAGAAGGAGCGAGAAGCACCAGAGTCAAGTGTGAAGGTGTACAAGGCCTCAGCAGGCGCAGTACCAGAGAGAGCAGACTCACCAGCACCTGGAGCGGCAGGCTCTATACCTGGGTCAGGCGGTACGCACAGGTAACAGGCACGGTCAGCACTAGTAGGCAATGCATACATGGCAGTGAGAATAGCATCATAGTCAAGAGCAAATATATCTACCCTCTGCCCAAGCAGCTCCACCCAGTCGGGGAGCTCAGCCTCGTCGCCAAACTCGGTACGCCAGGTGTCACTCAGACGGGCGAAGCAGCGGGAGTGTGTGTGACCAAGCGTCCCGCAAGCTTGACCAGTCCGATCACCTGGGCGAATGATGTACGGGCAGCGAACGGTACTCAGAGACCCTCTACTCTGAGCGTACCACTCGTGAAGCTGCCAGGGCGTAAGTGTCTCGCGTGGACGCCGCTGCAGCTACAGCTGGCCACTGCCAGACGCTCCCAACTGACCAGCTCCAGGGCGACAGCTACGACGGCTACCGCGACAACCCCAACTAGCGTACCACTCACTAAGCTTCTGGGGCGTGAGAGACTCGCGCGGACGTCGCTGGAGCTGCATCTGGCCACCGCCAGTAGCAGCAGTAGCAGGAGTAGCAGCAGTAGTAGGATTAGCAGCAGTAGCAGCAGTAATAGCAGTAGCAGCAGTAGCAGCGCGGCCACCCCTACAACCCCAACTAGCGTACCACTCACTAAGTTGCTGGGGCGTGAGGGACTCACGCGGACGTCGCTAGAGCTGCATCTGGCCACCGCCAGTAGCAGCAGTAGCAGTAGTAGTAGCAGCAGCAGTGCGTGCAGGGCAGTCGCGGCAGGCAGGCAGGCAGGCAGGCCGGCAGGCAGGCAGGCAGGCAGGCAGGCAGGCAGGCAGATGGCGCGGCAGCGCGCAAACAAGGCAGGTGCTCACCAGTGGCGGGAAGAGCAGGCGCTCACCGGGCGAGCAGGGCCGGCGCTCGGCGGGCGGCTGCACGGGGTCCAGGGGCGGCGTTGCGGGTCCAGGGGCGGCTGCACGGAGTCCAGGGGCGGCTGCTGCAGGGGCAAGGGGCGGCTGCTGCAGGGGCCAGGGGCGGGTGCTGCAGGGGCCAGGGGCGGCTGCTCTGGGTCCAGGGGCGGCTGCTCGAGTGTCCAGGGGCGGCTGCACCAGGGGCGGCTGCTTCAGGGGCCAGGGGCGGCTGCTCGGGGTCCAGGGGCGGCTGCTCCAGGGGCGGCTGCTGCAGGGGCCAGGGGCGGCTGCTCTGGGTCCAGGGGCGGCGCTCGAGGGTCCAGGGGCGGCTGCTCTGGGTCCAGGGGCGGCTGCACGGAGTCCAGGGGCGGCTGCACCAGGGGCGGCTGCTTCAGGGGCCAGGGGCGGCTGCTCTGGGTCCAGGGGCGGCTGCTCCAGGGGCGGCTGCTTCAGGGGCCAGGGGCGGCTGCTCTGGGTCCAGGGGCGGCTGCACCAGGGGCGGCTGCTTCAGGGGCCAGGGGCGGCTGCTCGGGGTCCAGGGGCGGCTGCTCCAGGGGCGGCTGCTGCAGGGGCCGTGGGCAGCTGCTCTGGGTCCAGGGGCGGCGCTCGAGTGTCCAGGGGCGGCTGCACCAGGGGCGTCTGCTCTGGGTCCAGGGGCGGCTGCTCCAAGGGCGGCGTAGCTGGTGCAGGGCAGCGCGCGGGTCCCACAGGCGCCGTGACGGGCGACGGGGGGCAGCGCGTCGTCACCAGAGGAGGCGACGCGCGGGGCCGGCGGCAGGCTTGAACGGGGCCGAAAAACGGGCTACGCGGGCGGCGGACGCGGCGCGCAGGGCCTAAGCGGGCTGTGCGCTGGCGGCTTACGTGACGCGCGGGCCGGCGGCAGGCTGCGCGGGCGGCTGACGTGGCGCGCGGGGCCGAAAACAGGCCTAAACGGGCCTAAACGGGCTGCGCGCAGGCTGCTTAAGAGGCGTGCGCGGGGAAAAAAAAAGGGCCGCGCGCGTGCAGCCGAGGCGCGCGCGGGCAGTAGGCAAGGTAGGTAGGCACGTGAGGTAGGTAAGAAGTAAACGGTGGGCCCTAATCCTAGGTCCTAAGGACCTATGCTCTAGATGCCATGTTAGAATCTTAGGCAAGGATGATGAGATTAGGTGAAGGTTTGGGTACAAGACTAGAGTGTCGAGAAAGTTTTGTACCCCCTAAGGCTATCCCCAATATAGCCTAGATAATGATATGCATATGTTTTGACATTACTGACCAACTGTTACCGTAGTCCGAGGTGTATGAGAACATTTATGGCAAAGATATAGAGGGTATATGCACGCGTGTGTGACACTATATGTTCATAGCTGTACATGCACGTTCTGCTGGCTGAAACGCCTGGCCCGATTACAAGTACCGTAGGAAGCTTTTCCGAGTAGCGCTACCGTATATGAAATGGTAAGGTAATGTATTGTCTGAATTACCTCCAACAAGCTCATGGTGCTCCATATTGCATGGCAGATTTACTGGCTGGCTGTGTGCCCTGGCAGCAATACTCTGTTCTGTTCTGTTTACTTATTGGCCCACCCAAGTAGAATCCGTGTCTTCCTGCAACAGGTATAGCTCTGATGAATCAAGTATCGCACGCGCACAGGCTTTGGCTCTAAAAAGCACATCAAAGATAGAATCACTGAGTAACATCAGGAGCAATAGCGAGCAGGGCTGCATGTTCGTAGGCTACAAGTAGCAGCATGGATGCCACAGTCAATGTCCTGCAAGCATCTGTGGTCCGGCCGTATATCAGGCACGTGACAAATGCTCTCCTCCTGCTGCTGCTGCTGCTGTTGTGATGACCGAGACCAGTCATACTGGAAGTTATGACACACCATCCTATCCATAGCACTAGCACCCCTTTGCTCTGTCGTGCTACCCACATGGCCATTCGCCTTGCACCCACCCGAGCACCCGCCTTTCCTGCTGCTCACACCTGAGGTCTGTCCTTCGTGGGATGTCTGCAGGGAGGCATGCAGGGGCGCACACATGCACAGCACACACCACCAACACATGTGAGCGCCACATCCAGGCACTTGCAGTAGCAAGCATGAGAGCAAGATTGAAGAGGACCACAGGGTAAGGCGGACCTGATGAGCAGGAGGAGAGTGGTGCCACTGTGGCAGCACGGGCAGGATGTGGCCCTCAGTGGAGAAGATGTAGTTGTGGATGTTGCCCCGCTCCAATGCCGACTCGTCAAACAGCAGGTACAGGTACTTGCACCTGCTCACCCACGTGTTGGCACCAGCGCCAAGGGCACAACAACGAAGTTAGCAAACAGGAAGAGGGAAATTGAGTTGAAAGCAAGATGGAGAAACGTGGCAGGGAAGGAGGGAGTTGGGTGAAAGATAGAGTGGGGGCGGGTGGCGGGGGGAGAGTGTACGTCTCAGCAAGGAAGAAGGAGTGCTGGTGGTCCTCCAGCTCGCCCGTGGTGACGTCCCTCACACTCGCATAGCCCCCCGCCACCCTCGTGCGCCGATTCAAGTCCCGCAGCATCGTCTGCCCCACCCGCTGGTACCATGGGTCTGCTCCCTCCATGAACCCCATCCACCCCACTCTCAGCCCCATGCACATGCAACAACCACCCTCAACCCCATCCAGCACCAGCCCCCCACACCTCACGACCACATTTTTTTCGCCCCCCGCAAGACATGCTCGCAAGACATACGTAGAGAGAGGCAGAGTGGAAGAGATTGAATGGCATGGCACAGTGGGTGAGTGATGGGGGACGCAAGTGGAGCAGGGAGGGAGACACGTGAGAAGAACGCAAAGCCACTGAATGGCTGGACAAGCAAGGGAAGGGCAATGAGGGGAAAGCAGGGGGAAGAGGGGGGGGGAGCAGTGAGAGAGAGGCGGAGGGGATGGGAAGGGAGGGCGACCTTTGGTGGCGTGGTAGAGGGCGAAGGTGGACTCAGCGAGCTCGGGCCTGAGCGGGTAGTAGCGCTCCGTGGGGTGCGGCACCCCCATGTCAAACAGATACCTGCCCACTCCCAGCGAGAGAGTCGGGTACGCGTGGGGAGCAGGGAGGGGCGAAGAGGAGTGGGAGACGGGAGAACATGCATGAGCGTGCATCTGCGGCATTCAGGACAGCATGACGCCCACCATAGCACAGGAGGGAGAAGTATGGGGCACGACGTGGCATGGCCTGACATAGCGTGGCATGGCATGGAGCAAGCAGCAGAGCAGCGAGGGCAGGAGAGAGTCACCGTTCAGGCAGCAGGCCGAACTTCTCCCACACTGTGAAGAACTGCCGGTGCGTTGCATTGGCTGCTGCCACGTCACCTGCCAGCACCTTTGCAGGGCGCATAAGGCAGTGTGGGGCAGGGACGGATGGGAGAGATGATGGGCGCAGTGCAGTAGAGGTACGGCAGGGCGAGGATCGAGGGGCAAGGAGTGGTAGTGGGAAGGTGCAGCGGAGCAGAGCAGAGGGGAGCTGGGCAGAGGCAGCACACCTGCAGGGCGGGCCAGAAGGCCTGGAGGCTGGCAAATTGGCGATAGGTGGGGCTGCCCGTGTGCATGTGCGCATCATGGTACCTGCAGGGCACCACCATAGGCGCATGGCAGGGCACGTCAGGATGAAGAACGAGCCACATACACACCAGCCGCCACCCACCATACACCCCGCCCTCATGGCATGGCACACACCCGATCATGACAAGGCATGGCACACAGCCGATCATGACAACCCCAGAGCCACGGATTATGGTTACCAGGAGGAGGGGTGGGGTGTGCGCAGGTAGCGCTGGGTGGCGGTGTAGGCAGCCTGGAACATGTGCCAGTAGTCGGGGTCACCAAAGAGCACGTAGGCCTTGAGCAGGTACTCGTAGAAGGAGTCCACTCCTGCTCCGATGCCTGTGTTGCCCTCCACCCACTGGCCACTCGCCACATCCAGCGTCGTCCCCACCAGGTCCACCGCCGACCGCATGCCCCACACCCGCCTCAGCGCCCCCTGCGCTGCCCGCTCAAAGCACGGATCGCCTGTGAGGCGCGACAGCAGCCCAAACTCCAGGATGAGCGAGCCTGGGAGCGAGGGGGGAAGGGAGAGAGGATGGAGAAGAGAGGTGCAGTTGTGCAGTGAAAGATAATGTAGTAGGGTACGCATGCAATGTAACAAGATCCAGAGTGCGCACAGGAACAACACGGTGGAATGGTCGCATTGGAGCACGGAGTGGAGGGCAAGGGGTACAGAGCACGCATGCACGCACAGGGACTGTGGGGTGCGCACACAGCAAAGAGGCAAGTGGTGCATAGTGGAAGGCAGCGCAAGAGGAAAAGAGAAGGTGTGGGGGAGAGGCAGCGAGTGAGGGCAGGGGGTGAAGAGACTGACCACAGCCGGACGTGCTGGTCTCCGTGGTCTCACCCGCCCTCACCCCGTACTGCAGCACGTGGCAGGGCGGCAGGGTGGGAACGACAAGGGTGGTGGGATGGCATACACACAAAGAGGCAGGAATGTCGGAAACGAGTGAGAGGGGACAGTGGCAAGGATTAAAGCGCGGCGAGGCACAACACTAGCCTCATTCACCATTCATGCCTGCCCCCTCCCCCTCTCTCTCCCCCAAGCAGCCAACCCCCACAGCAAGTATTCCCGGCGCGTTCCCCCCATGAGGAGTGCAAAGCGGGCATGACCTTGAGGTTGATCCACGCGTAGGGAATGCCCGTGGGCGTGTTGAATGCGGGCATGAGGCGCCGCCCCAGCTGCTCCGCCAGCACCAGCAGCTCGCCCCGGTACCACGCCCCTGTCTCCCCCTCCTCCTCGCTCCCCCCTGCTTCCACTGCCGCCCTCACTCCTTTTACCTCCTCATCCATAATCCTCCGCTCCCCTTCCTGCTCCTCCCCTGCTGCGGCCCCTGTACCCCCCTCCTCTGCAGCTGCGCGTCCTTCCCTGTATCTCCACGCTCCATGCCCCTCGGCCCCCTTCTCCATCCCGCCCTCTCTTCCCTCCCTGCTGTCAGCTGTGCCCCGGCCGGAGGGCGAGGTGGGGGGTGGCGGGGGGTGGAGCAGGAGGGAGTGGTGCTGGGCGAGCAGGTGGCCGGAGAGCAGCCCGCCCAGCAGCCGGATGTTGCACTGCCGCCACCACACCACAGGGGAGGAGGGGGACACGGGGTGGGCACTGGACGATTGAGAGAGGCAGCAGGAGGGATGGAGACGGGGCTCGTGTGCATGAGCGGATCGGATGCAGGGAGGCGAGGGCAGGGGGCTTGGTACCTCGAAGGTGTTGACGCGCACGTCGGCATGGAAGGAGAGCGAGGACGCCAGCCAGCGCACCGCCCGCTGGAACTCACTCACGTTGCCCAGCACTGCCAGGCTGGGGGGGAGGAGGGGGAGAGGTGAGGCGATGGGGGGAGAGGGGGAGGGGGAGGTGCGTGCAGAGGGAGTGGGTGAGAAGGGGAGAGGCAAGGGGTGGAGCGGACGGAAGGGACGATGAAGGAGATGACAACAAGGTGGCGAGTCATGGAGTAAGGAGGAGGAGAGGGTGAGCAGGGATGGCAGCAGTGCCGTGTGAGCAGCAGCGAGGGGGACGGCACGTGGAGGGAGGTGAGGTGGGCACCTTGAGAGCGAGTCGATGAGTGTGAGTGCGCTTCCATTGTAGTTGGTCGATAGGTGCTGCATCTGGTGCCACCAACACACGGAAATGCAAAATCGAGGGGAAACGATATGAAGCAAAGAGGATGCGCACCGAATCTCTTACCCAACTGTCTGTCTGTCCCATCCCCCTTCTCCATCTGTGTTTGTCACCCCTTTCCCCACTCCCCCATCACCAACCACCCCCCCCCCCCCCCCTTCCTGCATGTGAATACAACTTGCACCCGTGCACGAGTGCAGCACGAGCAGAGCGCACCTGGAGGTTGCCGAGTTCCCCCAGCGAGTCGGTGTAGGAGCGCGAGAGCGGCTTCAGCTCGTCGTGCTGCGCACGCACGGGTGGAGGAACACGCTATCATGCCGCACCGCCCACACACGCGCGCTCTCGGCAGCACAACCATGAGAGGGCGGTGAGAGGCGTGGCGAAGAGGGAGATGGGGGGCGAGGCGAAGGAGCAAGGGACGTTCTACGTGGTGGAGGGGGGGAATTGCAGCGTTTATTGGTAAGAAGCAGGGAAGGTGGGTGTGGGGGGGGGGGGGTGGGTGGGGGTTGGGTTTGAGGGGGTAAAGGGGAAGGAGATGAGGAGAGCGTGAGGCGGGGGAGAGGGCGAGCGGGGCGGTAAGGGCGGGGAGTTACAGGGAAGGCGTAGTGCATGTAGTTGTCGTACGCGTGGTAGAACCTGCGCCGCCCGCCACCGCATGTAAGGTGGCGTGCATGAGCAGGGGTGGGGTAGAAGGGGGAGCCAACGGGAGCGCATGAGACCGCAATACAAGGACTACGAGCGCGCGCTCCGAACATGACGGCAGTCGCGACAGAATTCGAGAGCTATGAATTGAGCAAGAAACGGCGGAGATGTGAGGAGAGAGAGGGCGAGTGAAGGCGGGAAGCGAGGGGATAGGAGCGCACATGGTGCGCGCTGTCTCGCGCATCTCCGACTGCTCCGCGCGGCCCAGCGGCGCCAAGGCGACGGCGCGCTGCACGTGGCAGCACACGGCGAGCAGCACGAGCCCCGCGAGGCGGCAGTGGGTCCACGAGCGGCAGGCGGCCATGGCGAAGGCGCGGGGGAGGAGCGGAGGGGTGAGTGGAGGCAGGTGTGGCAGGCAGGTCTACTGGCGATGAGATCTGCACGCGTGAGACGAGGCCCAGCGATGTGTGCGGGTGAAAGCGAGGCGAGCGTGGGTACCCATTTACGACCGTGCCTCGCCTGGACTCCGAAGCGGGCAAGCAGGCGTGATCAGCCAATGGACGCGTGGGGCGAACCCTTGGGATGTGCTGCAACCATCTTGCGTGCTGAGTGACCTAAATTGGAAGGCGAACAGCCCTGGCAACTGGAGTGTATCCTTAGCATACGCGTCTGTTACAACTTTAGCTATAAACGGTGTGGGCACCATGCTGCTGCTTACCATAGTGGCGATCCTAATAACGCATGGTAAAAGCCGTGACATCTTTGTAGTGGGGAGAGCACGCGGATAGGAAATAATAACAGATACACATATTGCAACACCACACATATGCACACATAAGACACATAGGGTGTGACCAGCCTCACCCAGCAACCATGAGCAGCCACAGGTTGACTCTCATACTGGGCAACGAAGCCTAAAGCATACTATCAGCCACCTAGATAGGCCCTTGATGCATGCATCAATCCAGTTCTCCCGAATGTAGAGCTCCTTGGCTCATGGTAAGAGCACTGGATAAGGCTCCCTGGCTTAGCGTGCGGTCAGGCAGGAACGAATGCGAGGGTGAGGAACGGTCCGGGGGGAGGTGAGGAGGGGAAGCGGAAGGCGAGGCGTGGGGAGGGGTGTCTGGTGGGGCTGCGAGCACGGGCGGCCCCGACAAGGAGGTCCTGGGTGGGGAGGGCACAGGCAAACAGTGGAGTGGAGAGTAGCTGCAGAGGGCACATGCAGGAGTGACGTGATGGAGGGGGAGATCTTATAGAGCGCAAGAGCAACCATGGAGAGGTGGATTCATCTGACAAAGGTAAACAATGAGGTGGTTGGAGCGGCTGGCCAAGGCATCTAATCTGACCTGAGATGAGAGTAGGTGGTGCGGGGGCATGTGCCTGCGAGGGACTGCTCACACATGCACGGGACGCAGTTGGGGGGGGGATAGAGAGCAGAGTGAGAGAGGTGTGAGGCAGCAGGGAAGAAGATGCAGGGGAAAATGGCTAGCGCAACAAGCAGAAGTGACGCATGAAGATGCAGGTACGAGTGGAATGGGAAGGGAGTAACATGGCTTTGCTGCGCAGCCATGCATGAGTGGCACAGCAGGCGCATGTGTTTCACCTGCACTGCGCTGGGCTCCCCTTCTCCCTGTGACAGCAGCCCCATGTCCCCACTGCACTCACACAGCACAGCACAGCAGGGGTGCACGCACATAACATGGAAGTGGGATTTGGAGCAGTGAGGCGCGCTGACAGCTGGAGTGGCATGAGCAGCGACAGAAGCAGCAGTGGCGTGAGCGGGGCACGCACCTGTAGTCGAGATCGTGCACGCGCATGCACAGCAGCCTGGGCATGAGGCCCCTGTCTGAGGGGGAGAGAGCCATGCCCGCGCTGCCCATGGCACTGTCATCCGCATCCATGCCCATGCTTGTCACATCGCTCTCACTCACCCGCCCGCTCTCACTGCCAATGCCAGTGCTGGCGGCACTGGTGGCGGCAGCGGATGCGGGCGCAGGGGTGCGGTGGGAGGCGTGAGAGGGCTGTGCGAAGGACTCGTCGTCCTCCTCGTCATCGCTCTCACTGCCCTCGCTGCCCTCCCTGTACACTAGCTTCAGCGCCTGCCATGGCGCAGGAGGGGGGCGAGGAGCAGAGGCGGGTGGGCACGTGCAGATACGAGGAGAGGAGGAGGCGATGCAGGCAGGTGAGCTGAGCCAGTCCAACACCACAGGCACACACTGGGCAGATTTTTTGCCCTTTCCCCCCCTGCTATGAGAGGACCCGCGCACGCACCTGCACGACTTGGGTCATGAAGGGGCGGTTGTCGGGGAGTTGCTGCAGGCACATGCTGGCGATGCCCGCCACACGCATGGCCGCCTCCAGGGGGTACCGCCCCTTGAGCGCCGGGTCCACCACCTGCTTCACCCCCGCGCTGCTGCTCGGGGGGACGCATGGGATGGTAGGGGCACCGACAGGGAGATAGGTTCAGGGTGCATGCAACGGGTGGTGCCGTGCAGGTGATGAGATGCAGGCAGCATGACGGCAGCATGAAGAGAATGACCAGGGTTGGAGACGAGACACCATGAAACAAATGCTCCCATCCATTCCTGATTCAACCCATGCCCATGCTCATGCATGCACGTGCCACCATACGCCCCCACCCTGCACGCCTGTCTCACGGTATGGCCGCCATTCCCAGCATGCATGGCGCACCTGAGCAGCAGCGGCGAGGCCCACTGCACGAGGCTGTGCTGGGGCGGGGGCAGTGAGTGGTCGATGGGCTTGCGGCCTGACATCAGCTCCAGCAGCACCACGCCAAAGCTGTACACGTCACTGCGCACCAACACCTGCCCCGTCAGCGCCACCTCCGGTGCCACGTACCTGCACGGCGCTCATGCAGGCAGGGCGGGACAGAGCATGCACAACGGATGGGGGACAGGAGATGGGAGGAGGCGCAAGGGGGCTGTGATTACGTAGCACAGGGCACGGATGGAGTCAGCAATGTTCTCATCACCTTAACCCCCACGCCCTCCCATTGAAAGCACCCCTTGCTCCCACCCTGCTGCCCATCCCATCCATGTGTCTCCCCCCCACGCACCCCACGGTGCCCATCATCCTGGACGCCTGTCCCCCTCCTCCCACCGCTCCCTGCTCCGGCAGTGCGGGGGTGGCAGCGTGGGGCATGGTCTTGGCGAGGCCGAGGTCGGAGAGCAGGGGGGAGAAGTCCAGGTCCAGCAGCACGTTGGCGCTCTTCACATCGCGGTGCACCACACGCGGGCTCGCGTCGTCATGCAGGTACGAGAGCGCGCGCGCCACACCCAGCGCCACCTTCATGCGCCGCTCCCACTCCATCACACCCGCCACGTCGCGCATGACCCCGTGCAGGTGCGACGCCAGGCTGCCGTTGCCCGCCAGCTGGTACACGAGGCAGCGCCGCCCGCCCTCAGCACAGATGCCGAGCAGCTTGACGAGGTTGCGGTGGTGCAGGCAGCTCAGCACCTGCGCCTCCCTCATGAACTCCGCGTCTGCTCTCTCCCTCTCCTGCTCCTCCACTGACCCTGCACCCCCCTCCCCCGCGTCCCCATGCGCCTCGGGCGAGTGCAGCAGCTTGACGGCCACGAGGGTGTCGTCCGCCAGCTCGCCCCGGTACACGCGGCTGAACCCGCCCTGCCCCAGCAGGTTGTCCGCGTGGAAGTCGTTCGTGGCGCGCCGCAGCTGCAGCAGCGAGAACACCACCGCGCCCGCTGGTGCCGTGGCGAGTCCGCGCAGGGCGAGCGAGGAGGCGTGAAGGCCCGTGCCCGTGCCCGCAAACCCCAGGCTCACGCCCAGCCCTGCCACCTCGCTTGGCAGTGATGACGATGGCAGGGCCGCGTGGGCGTCGGGCGAGGGCGAGCAGAAGGCGGCTGATGATGGCCACGCTTGGGATGGCGCTGCCGGTGGGGTGAGGAGGGGGCAGGGGGAGCGTGTACAGGTGAGAGAGATGCAAGTGTTGAGAGGAGGATTAGCACGGCCATGAAAATCTGTAGATTTGAAGTGTGAGTGAAACACAAGCAGCCGAGGGATCAACTGCGGAACACAGGCTGTGACACATGAAGGGAATACGCAGCTGCTCAAGTACATGGCATGGAGTGGGGTGAGTGCAACAGAGTCCACAAGTTAACGTTGAAAGCATGTGCTGTGGCTCACCGATGCTCTCCAGCCCCTTTTCCACGGGAACCCCAGCATCTTTGTCCGCCACGTCTGCTACCATAGGTGCACCTGCTGCTGCAGCAGCAGCAGTGGCAGCATCGGCAACAGCAGCGGAGCGGTGTTGGCGGCGGCGGTAGAGGAGGAGCCAGGCGAGGCAGGAGGCGAGCATGAGGAGCAGCAGCAGGCAGGGCGCCACAATGAAGAGCGCTATCTCCAACGCCGCCATCGAATGCCCCGTGCTGCCGCCGCCCCCCTCCGCGCCCCCGCCTGCCTGTGGCGGCGCCCACCCGTCCGACGAGGCGGGCCAGGGCGGGGAAGGGGGCGCGGGCGCGGAGGCGGGGTGCAGGGCGGGCGGGGGGAGGTGGTCGCCGGGGTTGAGGATGAAGAGCACCTGGAAGCGACCGAAGAGGGCGGGGTCCAGCCACACGTGCCCACCCAGCAGGCGACGGCGGATGGAGGCGACAAGGGAGGCGGGCAGCTGTGTGCCGTGCAGGGGCAGCAGGTAGGATGTGGTGTCGAGGAAACCTGTGCCCTGACGGTCGTACTCCACGCCCCACACCTGCACCTGCTGCGGCGTCACATGTAGCCCCGCACTGAGCTGCTGGGCGAAGAGCGGCACGGAGTGCAGGAAGTCGTCAAAGGGCAGCGCGAGGCGCAGCCCCACGACCATGGGCACGGCGCACACACACGCCACGTCTGTGGGGCCGCTCGCTGGCTTCACTGCCGTGCCCAGCGGACACTCCCTGCAGTCTGCACCACTCAGCACCACGTGCACAGGGGGGCCAGTGGGCGGGGAGTGAGGGGCGCACGGGGAAGGGAGGGTGGTGGGCGAGAGGGCCAGGACGAGCAGAGATGAGAATCGGATGAGAAGGACGCCTGAAACAAATGAACAAGCAAAACCGCTTGGCCATGCCAAGCAACAGAGTCGCAGCAGCAAGGGGACTTACGGCGTGAGTCTGGCGGTGGTGGTGGCAGTATGAGCGGCGGAGTGGGAGGCAGGGGCGGCAGCAGAGCAGCATCATCGGGGGAGGAAGCACTGGCGCCATCCACCAGCACAGCAGGCGAGGGCGCAGGCTCAGTGGCAGGCGGAGGTGCAGGGGGGTGTGCGTGGCGGTGCTTGTGCTTGGACTTGCTCTTGTGCGGAGGTGGGGGGGGCGCGTGCTTGTGTGTCCGCCTCTCCTTAGGAGGCGACTGCCTCTTGGCGGATTTCTTCCCGCTCCCCTCTCCATCCTCAACCGATTTCTTGGGGGGACGCGTTCTGCCCCTTGATGTTTTTGCGGGAGGCTGTGAGTGTGAGTGGTGTGGCTGTGGCGGTCTGTGAACAGGGGGCGCTTGGGAGGGAGTGTGACGGCGCCCAGGCGCGTGGGCGAGCGGGGGGAGCTCCGAGGGAGGGTCACGTGGGGCGAGGACAGGAGGGACGGGGGGAGGGTGGTGGGGAGACGTGGGGGGTGGATGGTCTGGGGAATCCGGTGGGGGGGAGGACTGGTGCTGCGGGTGGGGACGGGGGGAAGGGGGCGGGGCACGGGGTGGTTGCACCCGGGGGGCACGAGGAGGGCGTGGGTCAGAAGGGGGGGCAGGGGGGGGCGGGTGCTGTGGTGGCGGGGGGTTGGTGACTTCCTCCAAGGTACTCGGCTTTGAATGCGGGGGCGCGGGGGGAGGGGACGAGGGGGGCGCTGCTGGGGAAGGCGGGGGGTTTTCAACAGGCGGAGGGGGCGGAGGGCTGTCCGGCGGAGGAGGAGGAGGAGAGGATTCTGGGGGGAGAGAGATGGGAGGAAGAGAGTCAGTGGGGGAGAGATCAGGGGGCGGAGTGGCAGGGGGTGGGGCGGAAGGAGGGTCCGGAGGTGGGGGCGGGGGCGATTGGTCAGGAGGGGTTGGTGGCGGGTGCGATGGGGGTGGTGGCGAGGGCGGGGGAGGATCCAGTTGGGGGGGAGGGGGAGAGGGCGGATTGGGGGAAGGCGGAGGAGGGGAGGGGGGGGGAGGAGAGGGTGATGGGAGCGAGGGGTTTGGTGAAGGGGGTGGCGGGGACGGGGCTGGGGGCGGTTGACTTGGCGGAGGCTGGTCGTGTGGAGGCGATGGTAGTGACGCTGCGAATGACATTGGAAAAACGAGGAGGGAAAAGGGGGCCGATTGGGAAAGAGAGCAATGAGTTTGGGGCGGTGGAAGGGCAGCTGAAACGGCTTCTCGGTGTGAGAGGCAGGACTCGTGCATTACTAATGGCAGCGGGTGGGAGGGGCAGGGCTTACCTGGTGGCGGTGCTGCAGGCGTTGGTGGAGGGGGGGAGGGGGGCGGCTGCGATGCAGGGACGTACAGGCACGGGGGAACGAGGGGGGGGGGGCATGTCAGGAGAAAAGGGGACGGCACGGGTTGCAGAGGAGGGCAGTAACGAGGCTTCTACAGGTGGCATGGTATGTTACAGGAGAGAGCAATGCATAGAACAGGACGCAGAGGGAGGGGACCAGCGAGGCGAGGGACGGCAGTACCTGAGAAGGGGGCGGAAAAGTGGGAGGGGGTGGCGGATGGGGAGAGGGCGGAGGCGGTGAAGGGTTGGGAGAGGGAGGGGGGGGCGAGGGATTGGGCGAGGGTGGGGGCGGCGATGGTGAGGGGATGGCGGTGGGCGTGAGGGAGGGCATGGAGTGCAGAAAGGCGGAGGCGTTGGTGGTGCTGGTGGCGGAGTCCTGAGGCGCGGCGGGCGCGGACTGGGGCTCCGCGGACAGCGACGGCGCGTGGCTGGGCGGTGGCGAGGACACGTCGAGAGCCGCGAGGACGGGGAGGGCGCGGTGCGATGGGGCGCGCGGTGAGGGCGATGCGAGGAGGGGCGCCGTGGATGGTGGCGCTGCGGTGGAGGCGGCGGCGGAAGAGGAGGAGGAGGAGGAGGAGGAGGAGGAGGAGGAGGAGGAGGAGGAGGAGGAGGAGGAGGAGGAGGAGGAGGAGGAGGAGGAGGAGGAGTGTGGGGGTGGTACATTCGGTGATATTATGGGGGCGGACGGGGTTAATGGCGGGGAGGAGGTGTGTGGGAAGGTGATAGGGGCGGAGGAGATTTTAGAGAGGGAGGAGGAAATGGGGGGGGAGGAGACCGACTGCGCAGGCGACGGAGCGGAAGGAGGGGGAAGAGGCGGGGAGGAAGTGGAAGGTGAGTGGGTGGGCGAAGAAAGGGGAAGCGGAGCGAGCTGGGATGAGGAGGGGGAGGGGGGTGCGGCAGCAGAGGCAGAGATCGGCGGTGGAGTGGGTGATTGAGTCAGGGTCGGCGCGGTGGAGAGGAGGCGGGAGGCGTGAGAGTGCTGCGGCTGCGCGGATCCCGGAGATGCGTCTCCCGGGGGGTGGCGGGTGGGCGTGGACGCGGGCGCGCGGTGCAGCGAGGAGAAGGCTGTCAGGAACTGCGCCGGGGAGAGGGGGCGGGCAAGGCGGGAGCAGCGGAGTTGTTGCGTATGAAGGGACAGCGGGGACGCGCACAGCGATCATAGTGGGGGTGAACACGGCAGCGTGTCAATGATGCAAGACGAGAGTACCTGCTGGTTGTTGCTGCGCGCCGCAAGTGCGCGCACGGATGCCGTGCTGGCAGCCTGCAGGGCACCGGAGGGAGAGGGCAAGGCGGCGTGCGAGCACGCATGAGAGCGGGCGGCGTGAGCGCGGCGTGAAGGGCCAGCATCCACACCACCGACGGCATCAGAGCGCACTCCGTGCGTGTGTGCGTGTGCGCGCATGGATGCAGCAACTATTAGCGTGATCGAAATGTCTTCGCGTCGTCCCACTCACCGTCTGCGGTTGTTGCTGCTGCACTGACAGCAGCCACGCCAGGTTGCCTTTACCGCCTCTTTCCGATGCCGTCTCGCGCACCCCCTCCGCCCACGCCTCCCCCCATCCCCCGTGCGACCAACCCATGCAGCCCGACCCCTCCGGCCCCTCCGCCTCCGCCGTCGCCGGCGGCGCCTTTTCCAGCTGATCCGCGCATCCCTGTGCTGCCCGCACGGCGAGGGGGGGTGCGTGCGGCAGGCAGTGAAGGAGGAGGAGGAGCGCAAGGGCGCAGGCGCGCGGCCATGGCACGACGGGCGCGTGGCACGGCGACAACGTTCCACGAGATTGCGGCACGGACACGGACACGCTTCCACGAGGGTTACGGGAGGCGGCGCTGCAGTCGTGCCTGAGAGCATGCGCTGCACCGCGTGGGCGATGTGAGTAAGGGGGCGCGCGTGCGGAGAATGCTGGGCAGCAGCGGGCACCAGAAGCCCGCCATCGCCCCGCCCCATGCGCCCCACCGTCGCCGCCGCTCTCCCGCGGCATCGCCGCCCCGCCCCCGCATTCACGCTCGGCCAGTTCGGAAGTCGCTTGGGCGACGTGTCGCGGCACGGCGCTGTCGCGCAGGCAGCCATTAACGCGCCTGTACGCACCCCTGCGTTCTCGCGCTCGCTGTGGCTGTCCGTATCCGCCTGCACGGCGCGACACGGGCAGCGTCATCTCCCGGCGGGCGCGCTTGTCATGGTGGTGGCGATGGATGATCGGATTCTGCGCTCGGGTAGTCGCTCTCGCACGCTACACACGCAACGCAGGAGAAACGCTGTCGCGAACGCGATGGCTCATTCTTAATTTATTTCAAACGACGCTGATGGATGGTGGCGAAGCTAAACGATGAGGCCTTTAAAATGCATCTGTCACCGTCTGGTTGCGACGAGGGAGCGGAGGCCATGGAGCACGTTAATCTATATATTATAGAGAGACTCCTCGCACTCCGCAGGGACTTGCCATCTGCGCCAGTGATGGCGCACTTTGCTGCATGGCGATCGGTATGGCATGCTGCCAGCGCGCACGCCATGACCTGGGATTGGGTGGTTCCATGTCCATCCCATCTTTGCAGCTGCACAGTGTTCCGCTGACCTGCTGGGTGCCACATTGAGCTGCGCAAGCAAGCAGGACACATGACCACAGACAGACACAAGGCGGGGCAAGTCGTGCCCCATGCCACGCCATGGATGCGGGCGAATGTTCCAGTTGCTATGTTCAGTAAAGCCGCCGAGGCCAAACACGCGCGGATGCTCTTGGCGCCCGACGTCGGCTGCCTGATCCCTGGGTCCTGCTGTCGGATACCCTACGAGGCGCGTCATGAAACGTTACAACTTACAAGCACGCTCTATTTGCTGCACTGAACATTCAAATCAGTGGTTAAGTGAAACGCCCCACATTTCCTCATCGAAACACCACACTGATTTTTAAAAGTCTGATGCTGTCATCTGAAAACAGATGCGGTACAATGTGTACCTTTCAGGATGGCGAATTAGAAAACAAAACACGGCGGGCACTACTAGTGGTGCAAACAAACCAAACGCCTAATGGTATAGAGGCTGCAAATATATGGTTGCTGGTTCAGGTGGTTACTTGGCTGGCCATCTGTTTAGTAAGGAGGTCCTTCAATGTTGTGACAAGCGCATGCACATCATAATGCACTCCAGTACTGCTTTCACATGGAAGCGAGGGAACCATAGTCTGGCGCAGGAGGCAGGGCGACACATAAGAAAAATGCGAATGTGATGGGATACGGATGCTGTGGATCATGCATACCAACCAGCATATCATGGAAGGCAGTCCACAGGCATGCGAGGCTAACACCTTGCAACAATGGGTATGTGGCAGGACTTACCACAGAGGTGACTCCCAAGTACGTGAGGCGTTCATGGTCAAAGGGAATGGCTCCTCCCTCTGGTGCGATTAGATGCGTCACATAGTGCATCGACTACAGGAGATTTCAAGTGGCCATAGCAGAGGGGAACACGAGTGCAATGGACAAAGAGCAAGTAGGAGTTGAAAGCATGTAGGAATAGACTTGTGTGAGCGGTGGCGTGTGCATCTGACCGAGTGGGTGAGGCGGTGGCGGGAGTCGTCTCCGAAGGTGCGGTTGAGGCAGTTGCAGATGGCGAGCACGAAGTCTGACGCCGCCATGCCCGCTGTCTCACGGTCCACTGACCCGTTCAGCACTAGCACCTGCCATGCCATGCGCGCGTGGGGCACACGGGGGAAATACGCCCCACAACATGTGATGCCACTGCAAGCTTTTCTCTCTGAACTCACGGCCTCCCCCACCAAAAAAGAACTAGTGAAGGGGAGGATGGCAAGGGAGGAACAAAGAGGGTTGATGGGGTGTGCAGCAGAGCAGCGCTTTCCTGCGTGGGATGTTCTGGTGCACTTGGCCATACCTTGGGACATTCTCGTGCAGCGATTGCTTCTCCCACCCCTCGCAAGATCTGAGGTTTGAAAGAAAGGGATTGTGGACGGGGCAGTGGAGAGGGCAACGAAAATGGGAGACATGAATGGATAACTCTCTGCTAAAATAGTGATAGTGAGAGCATGACAGGATGAGGAGTGAGGGAGATGAACATAACAATTGTGGTTGCGTGTGAACTGGCTTGTTGTTGCACACGCCTTGGGGCAGAGAGACTAGCACATGCCTTAGAACGTGGACAATACCTTGGGGCAATGTTCTCGTGCAGCGATTGCTTCTCCCACCCCTCGCAAGATCTGATGTTTGAAGGAAAGGGATTGTGGACGGGGCAGTGGAGAGGGCAACGGAAATGGGAGACATGAATGGATAACTCTCTACTAAAATAGTGACAATGAGCATGACAGGATGAGGAGTGAGGGAGATAAACATGACAAGGTGTGCAAGCAGAGGAGATGATTGGAGGAAGCGCGGCGGTGAAGGCGTCGGCTACCTCGGGCCAAGCGGATTGGGAGACTTGGCATCGGCGGCTCGCACACGTGGCTGTATCTACATTGGAGGTGATGCACAAGGAGAAGTGCGTGCATGGGCTGCAACTGCAAGGAGATGGCGCTCACTATGGCAGCTGTGAGGCGTGCATGCAAAACAAGTTTGCGCGGTTCCCGTTTCCACGTGCGGAGGGATCGGCGAAGGCACCATTGGAGGTGGTGCACATGGACCTGGTGAGTCCTATGAGGATTGAGGGGACTGGGGGAGTGCTGTACTTCCTCACCATGGTGGACGAATGGAGCCGTTTCACGTGGGCACGTCCCTTGTCCAAGAAGAGCGATGCTGCAGCGGCAATCAAGGAGGATTGGTTGCCGATGGTGGAGCGGCAAGCGATGCGGTTGGTGAAGGTGCTGAGGAGTGACCGTGGTGGAGAGTTCCTTGGAGCGGAATTCACCAAGTTTCTAAAGAGGAACGGCATCCGACACCAGCTGACCTGCCCAGGAACACCGCAGCAGAACGGCGTTGCTGAGCGTGCCAACCGGACCATTGGCGACTTAGCATGTGCAAAATTTCAAGAACAAGGGCCTAGCATGTGCAAAATTGCAAGAACAAGGGCCTAGGGTGTGCAAAATTTCAAGAACAAGGGCCTAGCATGTGCAAAATAGCAAGAACAAGGGCCTAGCGTGTGCAAAATTGCATGAACAAGGGCCTTGCGTGTGCAAAATTGCAAGAAAAAGGGCCTAGCGTGTGCAAAATTGCAAGAACAAGGGCCTAGCGTGTGCAAAATTGCATGAACAGGGGCCTAGCGTGTGCAAAATAGCAACAACAAGGGCCTAGCATGTGCATAATAGCAAGAACAAGGGCCTAGCGCGTGCAAAATTGCATGAACAAGGGCCTAGCATGTGCAAAATTGCAAGAAGGGCCTAGCATGTGCAAAATTGCAAGAACAAGGGCCCTGCGTGTGCAAAATAGCAAGAACAAGGGCCTAGCGTGTGCAAAATTGCAAGAACAAGGGCCTAGCGTGTGCAAAATTGCAAGAACAAGGGCCTAGCGTGTACAAAATTGCAAGAACAAGGGCCTAGCATGTGCAAAATAGCAAGGACAAGGGCCTAGCGTGTGCAAAATTGCATGAACAAGGGTCTAGCGTGTGCAAAATTGCAAGAACAAGGGCCTAGCGTGTGCAAAATTGCAAGAACAAGGGCCTAGCGTGTGCAAAATTGCAAGAACAAGGGCCTAGCATGTGCAAAATTGCAAAATTGCAAGAACAAGGGCCTAGCATGTGCAAAATTTCAAGAACAAGTGCCTAGCATGTGCAAAATTGCAAGAACAAAGGCCTAGGGTGTGCAAACTTTCAAGAACAAGGGCCTAGCATGTGCAAAATAGCAAGAACAAGGGCCTAGCATGTACAAAATTGCATGAACAAAGGCCTAGCGTGTGCAAAATAGCAAGAACAAGGGCCTAGCATGTACAAAATTGCAAGAACAAGGGCCTAGCATGTGCAAAATAGCAAGAAAAAGGGTCTAGCGTGTGCAAAATTGCATGAACAAGGGCCTAGCGTTTGAAAAATAGCAAGAACAAGGGCCTAGCGTGTGCAAAATTGCAAGAAGAAGGGCCTAGCGTGTGCAAAATTTCAAGAATAAGGGCATAGCGTGTGCAAAATTGCAAGAACAAGGGCCTAGCGTGTGCAAAATTGCAAAAACAAGGGCCTAGCGAGTGCAAAATTGCAAGAACAAGGGCCTAGCGTGTGCAAAATTGCAAAAACAAGGGCCTAGTGTGTGCAAAATTGCAAGAACAAGGGCCTAGCGTGAGCAAAATTTCAAGAACAAGGGCAAAGCGTGTGCAAATATGCAAGAACAAGGGCCTAGCGTGTGCAAAATTTGAAGAACAAGGGCCTAGCGTGTGCAAAATTGCAAGAACAAGGGCCTAGCGTATGCAAAATTGCAAGAACAAGGGCCTAGCATGTGCAAAATTGCAAGAACAAGGGCCTAGCGTGTGCAAAATTGCAAGAACAAGGGCCTAGCGTGTGCAAAATTGCAAAATTGCAAGAACAAGGGCCTAGCATGTGCAAAATTTCAAAAACAAGGGCCTAGCATGTGCAAAATTGCAAGAACAAGGGCCTAGGGTGTGCAAAATTTCAAGAACAAGGGCCTAGTATGTGCAAAATAGCAAGAACAAGGGCCTAGCGTGTGCAAAATTGCATGAACAAGGGCCTAGCGTGTGCAAAATTGCAAGAACAAGGGCCTAGCGTGTGCAAAATTGCAAGAACAAGGGCATAGCGTGTGCAAAATTTCAAGAACAAGGGCCTAGCGTGTGCAAAATTGCAAGAACAAGGGCCTAGTGTGTGCAAAATTGCAAGAACAAGGGCCTAGCGTGTGCAAAATTGCAAGAACAAGCGCCTAGCGTGTGCAAAAGTTTCAGAACAAGGGCCTAGCATGTGCAAAATAGCGAGAACAAGGGCCTAGCGTGTGCAAAATTGCAAGAACAAGGGTCTAGCCAGTGCAAAATTGCAAGAACAAGGGCCTAGCGTGTGCAAAATTGCAAGAACAAGGGCCTAGCGTGTGAAAAATCTCAAGAACAAGGGCCTAGCGTGTGCAAAATTTCAAGAACAAGGGCCTAGCGTGTGCAAAATTGCAAGAACAAGGGCCTAGTGTGTGCAAAAGTTCAAGAACAAGGGCCTAGCATGTGCAAAATAGCGTCAACAAGGTCCTAGCGTGTGCAAAATTGCGGAAACAAGGGCCTAGCGTGTGAAAAATAGCAAGAACAAGGGCCTAGCATGTGCAAAATGGCAAGAACAAGGGCCTAGCGTGTGCAAAATAGTAAGAACAAGGGCCTAGCGTGTGCAAAATAGCAAAAACAAGGGCCTAGCGTGTGTAAAATTGCAAAAACAAGGGCCTCGCGCGTGCAAAATAGCAAGAACAAGGGCCTAGCGTGTGCAAAATTGCAAGATTAAGGGCCTAGCATGTGCAAAATTGCAAGAACAAGGGCTTAGGGTGTGCAAAATTTCAAGAACAAGGGCATAGCATGTGAAAAATAGCAAGAACAAGGGCCTAGCGTGTGCAAAATTGCATGAACAGGGGCCTAGCGTGTGCAAAATAGCAACAACAAGGGCCTAGCATGTGCAAAATAGCAAGAACAAGAGCCTAGCGTGTGCAAAATTGCATGAACAAGGGCCTAGCATGTGCAAAATTGCAAGAACAAGGGCCTAGCATGTGCAAAATTGCAAGAACAAGGGCCTAGCGTGTGCAAAATAGCAAGAACAAAGGCCTAGCGTGTGAAACATTGCAAGAACAAGGGCCTAGCGTTTACAAAATTGCAAGAACAAGGGCCTAGCGTGCACAAAATTGCAAGAACAAGGGCCTAGCCTGTGCAAAATAGCTAGGACAAGGGCCTAGCGTGTGCAAAATTGCAAGAACAAGGATCTAGCGTGTGCAAAATTGCAAGAACAAGGGCCTAGCGTGTGCGAAATTGCAAGAACAAGGGCATAGCGTGTCCAAAATTGCAAGAACAAGGGCCTAGCGTGTGCAAAATTGCAAAATTGCAAGAACAAGGGCCTTGCATGTGCAAAATTTCAGGAACAAGTGCCTAGCATGTGCAAAATTGCAAGAACAAGGGCCTAGGGTGTGCAAAATTTCAAGAACAAAGGCCTAGCATGTGCAAAATAGCAAGAACAAGGGCCTAGCGTGTACAAAATTGCATGAACAAGGGCCTAGCGTGTGCAAAATTGCAAGAACAAGGGCCTAGCGTGTGCAAAATTGCAAGAACAAGGGCCTAGCATGTGCAAAATTGCAAGAACAAGGGCCTAGCATGTGCAAAATGGCAAGAACAAGGGCCTAGCGTGTGCAAAATTGCATGAACAAGGGCGTAGCGTGTGCCAAATAGCAAAAAAAAGGGCCTAGCGTGTGCAAAATTGCAAGAACAAGGGCCTAGCGTGTGCAAAATCGCAAGAACAAGGGCGTAAGGTGTGCAAAATTTCGAGAACAAGGGCATAGCATGTGCAAAATAGCAAGAACAAGGGCCTAGCATGTGCAAAATTGCATGAACAGGGGCCTAGCGTGTGCAAACTAGCAACAACAAGGGCCTAGCATGTGCAAAATAGCAAGAACAAGGGCCTAGCGTGTGCAAAATTGCATGAACAATTGCCTAGCATGTGCAAAATTGCAAGAACAAGGGCCTAGCATGTGCAAAATTGCAAGAACAAGGGCCCAGCGTATGCAAAATAGCAAGAACAAGGGCCCAGCGTGTGCAAGATTGCAAGAACAAGGGCCTAGCGTGTGCAAAATTGCAAGAACAAGGGCCTAGCGTGTACAAAATTGCAAGAACAAGGGCCTAGCGTGTGCAAAATAGCAAGGACAAGGGCCTAGCGTGTGCAAAGTTGCAAGAACAAGGGTCTAGCGTGTGCGAAATTGCAAGAACAAGGGCCTAGCGTGTGCAAAATTGCAAGAACAAGGGCCTAGCGTGTGCAAAATTGCATGAACAAGGGCCTAGCGTGTGCAAAATT